CTTTCAATTGTGCACAAAAGAAATTGCTACTTTTTCGATGTAACACTTAAAAAACCAGTAGTTGATGAGGTACATCCCGAATTGATAGCTTTATGCGGTTAATAATCGATAAAAAAATTTCATGTTTTTCATGTATCGACATATGAGATTATATATGCTAATATATTCATTCTCGTAATAGATCTCCATAAAATTACAGTTTTACCACACACTGTCAATATTTTATGATGTGATGTATTAATTTTAATAATTTGCTATTAATACATAAATTAGCATAATAAATAAATTAATAAAAATTAAATAATATGACCATTAATTTGTTTAAATAAATAATTCGATAACATCAAAGTTTATGATATTATTATATCAATATTTATGGTCTCACATATTATTTATAAGCATTTATGCAATTAATTAAATTAAAGTGAACTAGTGGTGTATGGTATCGTTAAAGCAAATTGCTGGAATTTCCCGTACCGTATTCGAGAAATATACGAGGAATATCAAATGTTTTCAAATAGATTATTATAAATACTGTAACTTTCATTATTCTTATTTTATAGACAAAATAAAAGAGCTTAAGGAGCTTAAGAAGTACGACGACATTTATATATTTATTATAGACAAGTAAATAAACAAAACTCAATCGTCACATTTAAAATGAAGAGCAATGTCTGATATCCATAAGAATTATATAAACTGAATTTCAAAGTTAAAATTATTATTTTAAGTGTATAACTGAGCTTTAGAACTTTAACTAGAATTAGAACTATAATTCGAACTATTTATATATTTGTATCCGTGCGCCCATACATACATAGAACGTATGCAAAGTTCTAAATTTTTCTAAAGATATGCAAAAAGTTTCAATTTTGATTTTGGGACTATTACAAAAACTTACCCTACGGAAAGTTCTATTAAATAAAATTTAATAGAAATAAATAAAATTATCCTTAAAATAATATAAGCAACTCAGAGGTCAATGCAATGCATGGCCATTTTACTACTTAGCTATTTGGATTTACTATTTGAATAGTTCAGCTTTAATTATAAAGTAGTACTGAGATAAAATATTAGTAAATTTTGCAATTAAAAAAAATGGCAATCTAAATTTTTATTTCAACGATTTGGTTAATTTGTCTTCAGATTTTCCATCAGCATAAGTATTAAACTATTTTTCTCAGATTTTACTAATAAAATTTTTTTCAAATCTATTTAGATACAAATTATTATATAGTCATTATCTAGATAGATAAATAGATAGATAGATAGATAGACCGAGGAATAGAACAATTACAAAACTGTCACATGAAGGATCAATTTAAGTCTTCATTGTTTACCAAAAGGTTAACAGATAAATTCTCGGCCATGTAAAAGGGCAGATGTATAACATCGATAAAATCAATGACTTATTCAAATTTATTACGATTTCTAGAAACCTATATTTGAGATACGATTCGATTGAGCTGGTGAACTATAAACCTTTCCGCCCGTACTGTAGCGATCATAAAATTATAATATGACATCCACGAATCGCGATTTTCTACAAGTACAAGGATGGGTCTCACGATGAAAATTTACATGATAAAGGAAGAGCTGATGTAGGTACTAGATTTAGTTATAAATATTTTATTTATAACTAAATCTATTTTATAAGAAATTTGAGATGATATATAAAATAAGATGATATTGGAATTTATATAAAATATTATGTTTCTTCGCGTTTTAATATTTTCTGGTCATTTTGGAATATCTAGGCATAAAAATAAGGGGATATTTTACAATTTTTAAGTTACGGTTTTGAAAAACAGATCGATGTTTATTGTTCAAAAAATATTCGAATTTTATCGACATTTTTTAATTAAGAAAGAAATAGCGCGGATTTTTTTTAATTACAATATCTGTTACAACTTTCGCTAAATAATATCTAGACAGAAAAATAAGGGTAAATTTTACAATTTTTAAATTACGGTTTTGAAAAACAGATCGATGTTTATTGTTCAAAAAATATTCGAATTTTATCGACATTTTTTAATTAAGAAAGAAATAGCGCGGATTTTTTTTAATTACAATATCTGATACAACTTTTGCTAAATAATATAGCGTCTAGTAATGTAAGTATAATAACATAAATATAAATAAAATAGAGTACAAAATGAAGGATAGTATTTTCATTAAAATAATATCCGTATTATGATGATTTAATATAAAATAAAAACACATAAAGATAATAAAATTAATAAATAAAATAAATAAAACTTGTGAATAATAAAAATAATACTGGAAAAACAATAAAGTAGAACAAAAACAATAAATGACAAATAATAAATATAACAAAATAATAATATTAGAAATAAAATAATATAAACAGCGCGCAAATGACTATCATTTAGCTAGGAATAAATACCATTTAACTATTAATATTAATATAAACTGTTAAGTAATATATTAATATTAATACATACCAACTTGTATAACCAAATATATTTTGTAACTAGTGGGGTGGGTGGCATCGTGCCTTAAGGCAAATTGCTGGAACTTCCCGTACCGTAACGAAACGTTCGAGGAATATTGAATGTTTTCAAATAGATTATTATAAATATTGTATTATTGTCTAATATTTATAAGAATTATATAAACTGAATTGCAGAGTTGAAATTATTTGTTTAAAGTATATTAGAACTATAGTCAGAATTAAAAATAAAATCTGAATTATTTTCGATATACAAAAAATTAAAAAAAAAAAAAAAAAAAAAAAAAAAAAAAAAAAATTTCACTTGGAAACATATTGCTATCTATATTTCCAAGTGAAAATCGTTGTCACTGCTGCCTGACAACAGGCTGCTCGAAGTGGGTATCGAGCCCGGGACCTCTGAAACAAGTCCCGTCGCTCTTAACCGCTTACCTACAGGCGAGCCCTCTCTAGTGCGCACTAACCAATATAGATATATTTACAAATAAATATGGCGTTAAATTTAATAATGTAATCTTAGTATCATAAACTTCTTTTGTAATTGTTTGCAGTTAGTTATCCTAATATTCCTAATATCTCAAAACCCGGTTGCTTCGACCACTCCAGATTTCTCCTTTCGCCAGCTAAGGACATCGCCAAGGACAACTTACTATTAGTTTACTTAACTAACTCGTGTCCCAATGGCAATATAATAAAAAAATCTCACTTTTTTTCTTGGCTACGTGGTCTATAAGTTGTTTATGCTGTACTCTAGCATAGTAATTTTTTTTAAGAGCGCAATCCGGCTCTTCTCCTGTTTTACATGTAGACATCGGTAGATTATGTATATACCGATGAGCATATTTTCATTGCAGCACTGCAGCCATTTTCACTGGAGATCTATGACCTAAAGGGTAATTTTATACGACACTGACTGATATCGAATCAGGAACTAGTTTAGTGCCATTATATGTTCTTACTATATTACAATGAGGTCAACTTTTCCACAATTAAGTTTTAATATTAAGATATGCCTATGCAATTAAAAAAAATAACTAGTGGGGTGGGTGGCATCGTGCCTTAAGGCAAATTGCTGGAACTTCCCGTACCGTAACGAAACGTTCGAGGAATATTGAATGTTTTCAAATAGATTATTATAAATATTGTATTATTGTCTAATATTTATAAGAATTATATAAACTGAATTGCAGAGTTGAAATTATTTGTTTAAAGTATATTAGAACTATAGTCAGAATTAAAAATAAAATCTGAATTATTTTCGATATACAAAAAATTAAAAAAAAAAAAAAAAAAAAAAAAAAAAAAAATGGTACAAAATTTTTTTTTCCAAAATCAATTATTTTGTTAAGACAAGCAGAAAGTTCTTTGAATCAATTGAATCGGACGCTTAGTTCTCTCAAAAACTGCCATTTTTTGTACATTTAGCTCTGTATCTCCGAAATGGCTGGGCCTGCCTTTGCGAAAAACTAATAACCCTTTCTCCCAATCATTACTAATGGAATGTTTTTTAGATAATTCAAATCGGATGCTCCGTTCTCTCAAAAACTCGATTTCTATTTTCTGCACTCTTTGCTCCTTATCTCCGTAACTGCTGGACCTGTCTTTGCCAAAAACTAATCAGCTCTTCTCCTTATTAATAGGAATCGAATGTTTTTTAAACCATTCAAATCGGTTGATCCGTACGCCCGAAAACGTGGACGAAAATTTGTATCCATACATACATACACACACACACACACACACACACACACACACACATCCATTTTTTCTGAGGTATGCCAAAACGTTCAGAAACCTTCAAAACGTCGAGAAATGTAAAAATTTTCAATTCCGATTTTCGGCCCATTACAATAACTTACCCTACGGGAAGTTAAAAATCGTTTTTTTATCAATTTCGTAATATAATTTAATATTTTAGTACGAAAAATGTGTATATAAACTATGATCCGTTGTTTTTTTATTGATATCGCTTATTTTTAGATTTAGGATTTCATTCTACGTACACAAATAAATGTTATCTGATTAAAATAAAAATTAATTTCAAACAAATTTATTTGAAAATTATTTAAAAAAAGTTTTTTCAATTTGCAAGATTATCATTAAGAAAAATACATGAAATATTTTATAGATTTATGTTGAATATTTTAATATTTTGACAACTTAGAGTATTTCTTTTTTTTTAAATGCATTCGTCCAAATTGTTAGTGATTGTTAAATTGTTAGTAAGTGGCTTATTATTTATAGCGTTTAAAGTAGATGTAATTTTGTTTGATTGTATCTATATAATATTTATACGGAATTTAACATTATTGTTTAAATAATTTATATATTTTTATATTTTGCAAATTTGCACATCCTGCAGTCGGGATATGTAAAACACGCGATACGACTACGCCTTAACTAGCCCGTTGAAGACAGCAGTTTAGAAATCTTCACTTTAACTCTTTCTTCTTCCTACGGGTCATCTTCAATCGTATGCCCACTAACACATCTTCAGACGACGATAAATAGTCCGCAATGGTACATTATGGGAATAGGTACGCTGCACGAGGTCATTGAAATGAAAATCTTCTACTGCCATAGAAAAGGCAGACTCGCTTAGTCGTGTTCCGTTCTTTTGAGAAGAAACTAATACCTCATTTTCGTTTTTCAGAGAAATATGTGCAAAACTCCTTATTAACTCTTTTTATTTGCATTTTTTTGCAAACTCCATATTAACTCACCGTGGGGTGACATCAAAATCGCCAAAAAAATTGAAAATAAATTGATACTTCAACGTTTCAAAATTTAATGATATCGTATAATTTGAAAAAAATGTATGTGTGTGTACTAAGTAGGGTAGGGCGGGGCTAGTTGAGCAACTTTTTACTTAAACGGATGTAGCTCCTCAATGAAAAGTCTCAATAAATTGCTATACGGCTTAATGGATTTGTTGTTTATCGCTTAACAAAAGTGTTAATGCTATTTTTTGGCAATAAGTAAAATTTAAAAGCTACAGCTGTTTAAATGCAGAAAGTCAAGTATGCTCAATGTACCCCGTAGGTGGGGCAAGTTGAGCACTAAGAAATTATAATGAAATCATAGGTTCAATGTCGATTAGTGATGAAATAAAATTAGTTTTTAATAACCAGTTCTATATTTATAGTCTTTATTGACAGAGAAAACAAAACTTATAGTAATTTTCTTCGAATAATTAACCAAAAGTAGAATCAACAAAACAATATCGTATCTTAGGAATTATTTTACCATTATATTCAGTATTTTTGTTTAAAATCATTATTTCTTTATATTATTACTCATAGACTTAGCTTAAATCTTAAAAATAATAATTAATTTCTAGAAGTTAATGGTAATTGTCTTAGTGACAGAACAAGTTTAGCAACTATGCTCAACTAACCCCAACTCGAAATTTCAAAATAAAAGTGAGTTTATAAAAAAACCGTGAAAACTATACCCAGAATCTCTATGCATATTAAAACTACTATAATTATATGGAAGAATAACATTTACCTGTTTAAAAATAAATAACAATTGACTAAACCAGACGAAAACTCGTGATGAATTACTTTTTTACTTTTTGGTCTCAAAATAAACATAATGCCCGTGAGCCTCACTCATTTGTCCAGCGGCCACTAGCGATCGTGGGATGTTTATTTCTCCCAAACCTCTATCTTTCCGTCATATAATGCCTAAACGGACGGTGAATAGTTTTCGTGATATTTCGATTGCTCAACTTGCCCCGCCCTACCCTATGTATGTGTGGATATAGCATGTTTTTGAAAAGACTGCTGAACCAAATTGGATCTTATAAAAATATTTGATTCGCTAGTTATAATGAAGTTATAATAAGTTATTGTTAATACTCTCAATTTACTCGTATATTACAACGCAGCATCAATTTTTTATCAATCTTTTCTTTTCAGGTATTCGTCTCAGGCTTGTGTATCATCCTAATAATTAAAACAAAAATAAGTTCTGCTGCCGTCAGCGAGTTGAATGAATATTTAACACCACCCGCCGCGCCAAAATATCACCACCAGCACTCCCCTATTCGACAACAGAGAAATCATCAATTTGAACAAAGCCAAAAACCACATTTTAATGGACCCCCTATTAGGCCAGTTCAATTCAGTAAGCCACAAACGCTACCTAAAGGTGAGGAACCCAGTTTCATGCAACGCATCGCGCAATGGTTTTTCCCGGGATCAGAAGACCAAGACTTAACTCCACCAGTAGCGCCTATAGCACACCAACCAGCCAGCCCTTCTCAACACGTGCCTAGATATGCTGCTCAACCGACACAAAACCACCATCAGCAAGCGCCGTCTTATTATCGACATGGGCATTCAGTTCAACACTCACGGAAAGATTGTAATCCGTGTGACAAAGTACCTTGGACTCCGATTTTCAAGCCTCAAACGTCAACCTATAATCAACAAAATCAGCATAGCCAGTATAACCAAAATAACCAACAAAATCATCATACTGAGTACAATCAAAATAATCAACAAAATCAACATAATCAATATAATCAGAACAATCAACAATATCATCAACAAAACTTCCAAACAAATGCTCAATATGCTGCTCCGCCAGCAAAACCAAATCAGCACTATAGTACTCTAAATCAAGGAGGTCAGTTAAAGGTAACTAGTAAAGAATATTTACCTCCCCCTGATGTACTCCCATTGGCAACAAACACTCATCATGCCGTACCATTAGCCGGTAGGCCGATTGCTTTGCCCAATTTGAGCCCAACGGCAATACCGCCATTGTTCAACGCAAAACCGTTCAATCAAGGGTCATCTTCTACATTATATGGAACTCAACATCTAGCAGGTTCGGAAAATTTACCAATACATCATCTTTTGAATCCTCAAGTCGAAGATCCATCATTAAGTACAAACCCGTATGGACCTCCTGTAATTCCTTTCAATAAACCTATGTATGATGATGGTGACATTCAAGTTATCCCAAGCATTCCGGTAGCTGAATTTGTTTCATCAGTTGAATATCCACCAAGTATAGTGCAATCTCCGGTTATAGATATCGATCATGCGCCCGCAAATCTTCCTGGTCTTCCTTTGGAAAATCAAGAGCGAAATCCAATTTCTCAAGAGTACAATGCGCCAGAAAGTAATGTGGTATTACCCAATTTTCATCAAGATAGTCATCCTGCAGCTTCCACTTACAATATAAGCGTTGATAATGATAAACTAGAACATATAGGTAGCGTTCCAAACTATGATAGCTATGGTAACAAGTTAGAAATATATGACGATATTCAAACTAGCACACAGAAGCCATATTTTGTAACAAACGTACCTACGTCAGTAACATCTTTGTCATCTTTGCAAACCGCAAATAACCACGCTTATGAAACAACTGATTTTTCATATAGTACAGTAGGTTATAATCAAGAATTTAATATTGAACAACAAAATATTTATGATAGTTCACAAAGCAATCTCAACCACAATTTTGAAAATCAAAATTTAGAGCCACCAGTACAAAACCATTATGGTGAAAACAGAGGACATAGAAACACTGATATCAATTCACAGGTGTACAATAATGAAAATAAATCAGGTCCAAAGGACTCTCAAATATTGTACTTGAATATTAATCCTCCACAAAAACCATTCAAAGGTTTTCGTGATATTCATTATAGAGGTAAAACAGTGTTTACTCCAAGCACTTTGGAATATACAACTGATGTGAATTTTGTTTCAACGTCTATGCAACCGCCATCACCAACTGCTCAAATTCCCTGGGAAAATATTTATAACAAACAAGAATCTATAGATCTATTTCCACCACCTCCTCCCCCAAAAGAATTATCTCCAACGAAAAAACCAAAACAAATTCAAATAATAATACCTTACATGGCTAATAGCAAACCCAAACTGTTTATTAATCCTGAACTCAGCGTGATCCAAGGTCGCAAAGTAAACGGGCCTGGTAAACAAAATGTGTTTTTATACGGTAACAAATTTCCACCAGCATCTGAAATTGATGAAGACTTTCACGAGCAAGAAGAATCAAAAATTGTTACAGCAACTGCTCAGACACAAAAACCAACAACTTTAAAAACAATACCTCTTCCTAAAGTTAGAGATATTTTAAAATTAGCCAATTACACAAAGAAAGAAAAAAGTCCAAAAGAGGAGATTAAGTTACAGAAAAATATAGAAAATCATAAAAATATCACGATAAGCGATACTCTGCCTCCAAAAGTTTCGAGTATCAAATCAACAAAAAATACTAAATCAAAAAGCAATGATACCAAAGACTATCACGGTGAAATGATACGTTTGCAAAAGAATATTGATGATTGGACAGAACAAGAATATTCAAAAGAAACGAAAGAGTACAAATCGAGTACTGCATCTTTGAAACCATCTAAGAAAATACCAGAAGAATATTTAACTACAGTTGCATTGAATGATACTGAAACCACTACTGAATCTGTAATACCAACTACGATTTCAAGTAATTTTGATAGTGTTGATAGCGAATTAAAACAAAATATAACTATCATAGGTCACATAAGTAATAGCTTGTTCGAATCTAGTGTTTCCATTAATACTGACTCTAGTGACGAGAAAAACTCTTGGAAAAAGATAGAATTATCAGTTTCTCCAGTAACGAAGGAAAAGGTGTATGTTGTGACGCCTGTGCCATGGTCAAAGAAATCATATAATTGGCCGGAATTGAAACCGTCAGGTTTCGTTTTACCGAAATATATAACTGAAAAGCCTAATTTAAGCAGCGATGGTATAAATGCAACTAAAGTGAGCTTGCCAGAATCAGGTGAGTTCATTTTTATATAATCCTAAAATAAATATAGTAGTTGAGATATGAAATTTAAGTCATTAAATTATAAATTCTCATTTTACTTTTAAGATAAATTGAGTTTTATAATAATTAACATATATTTGTTAGTATATTTTATTTAAATGCAGCTATAAGTCAATTTTGACTACTGAATACAATTCCAATATAAATATGTAATTGAAATATTGGAAACTGGTCTCATCACTTATATTCAGCATATTTTCCATATACGTCTACTAGCAGAACGAAGTAGACCAATTTTCCTACTAAAGCTAATAGTATAGGAGCCAGCAACGTTTTCAAAACAAGCATTTTAGTCAGGCTGGTTTTTTGGTATGTGGTCCTTGGTGCTCTCTCGGTTAGGGCAAGGGCCGTCTGGCAGCTGGAAGTGGTTGCGTTAATTAGTGCGCAGCCAATTTGTACAGCGCGATTTCAGAATTTTGAAAGCATTTTAGTCAGCCCAATTTTCGTTTTTTTGACTTCGAATAGGTTCACCAGACTCAAATTTTTTGTTGCCAGACATTTTGGGCGCTGCTAAATATGTGCCAGACGCCAATTTATTTATTAATTTTTTTAAAAATTCAAATCATTTTAGTCCGTCTGAAATTTCAGTATTATGTTCGTTAAGGGTAAAAACACGTAAAATTAATTTGCCAGACGTTTCTGCGGTTGTTAACCATGTCTGGCAAGCAAAAATGTCTGGAAATATGATACTAGTTTATAGCATTTTAGTCAGTCCAATTTTCATTTTTTGACTTGATATTTGATTTGATAACTTGAATAAGTTATCCAGATTCACATTTTTGTTGCCAGACATTTTGGGCGCTGCCAAATATGTGCCAGACGCCAATTTATTCATTAATTTTTTTTAAAATTCAAATCATTTTAGTCCGTCTGTAATTTTAATATTATATTCATTAAGGGTCAAGAAACATAAAATTAATTTGCCAGACGTTTCTGCGGTTGTTAAGCATGTCTGGCAACGAAAAAAGTTTGCCAATATGATACTAGTAGACAGAGTGAGACAATCGCTAAATACATTGGCGCGAATGAAACAAAAAACTATTATACTTGTAAGAGCGCCATACGTTTACTAGGCAGAAAACCATAAGAAAAATCAAATAACTACATTAGACAGATGTGTTTGTTATAAACTTCTCTGCAAAATTGTGTTTATACCATTTTTCTTTAGAATCACCGTTTCTTACAAATTGCCATCTGGAAAGTTAAAAAATTCATATTTCTCATAATATGCAGCCTTTATAAATACATCATCAAAGGTGAATTATGAGTGAAAAATAAAAATCCATTGATTTGTTTTGGATAGATGAGTTTAACGAGTCTTATGATATATCACATTGTAGTATTATTGTCCCAGTGTGGGAGGTTCGCATACCTGATTGTTTTGAAGGAATTAATCAAAATAATTATGTATAAATGAATGCGGGGCGTGTTACAACATCCAAAGTGCACAGTTATCATATTAAGCCATAAGACGAATAAATCTGTACAATAGACGTTTTTATTCGTTGTTAAAAACAACGATATTCCCAATTATAATCTTGATTTAAGAGACCTAGGTCGAATGACTATCATTATATAGTGATACATATTAATCTAAAATGAACCCATTTGAATTTTTGAATTATTAAATACACTTCGATTTTTAAAAAACATTGCTCAATTTACAGCTAAAAGCTGAAAGAAAAAAGAGCGGAGAATGCTTGCTGTACAATATTTATTGTATATATTATATATATACTAGAATTTTAAGATTCTATTCTAGGGGTAGCTCGAAATGGTAAGGTAGCAAAACTAGAATTATCAGTATTAAGTATAGGTATGTGTTACAATTAGTTGCTGCTAAAGCCATGTAATATGTACATGCACCAATAATATAACATGTATCATGTAAAATGAAGTCATTCGACTCAGTTAACTTAGTGATAAAAAAAAATTGCGTACAGCAAAATGATTATTGTCAGTTTTCATTGCAAACCTTTTTTTTTTATTTATTTTTATTGGCCTCGCTTACTCGAGCATTTAACCACCTACATTTTTCTATACAATCAAATGTCTTATACAATCTTCAATTTATACTATCTTCTTTATATAATCCTGTTCTTTTTCTATACTTCTTAACTTATCTTCATTCTTCTTTTACTATCTTCTCATTTCATCTTCTAACCACTATTTCTTTCTTCTTTTTCTTCTATACTTCTCATTTGTTCTTCTAAATTCTTCTTACTTCAATTCATTTTTTAATTCCAATTATCTAATTTTTTATACATTTTGATTTTACATACATATCCTTTTATTACAATTCATAATTCTATTATTATTCCAACTTAACTAGTTAATATTTTTTTCAAATTCTTGCCGGAGATTCGAACTCGGAACCTCCAGCATGTGAATCGGGAACGCTACTCTTGAGCTAATGCCGCCACCATTGCAAACCTTAAAATATATGATATTCTTAGAAAATTGACGATGTTACTCAACCACTGTCGAGTCAAATTTTTAAAAAATATTAACAGCAATATTTTAGAATCATTAACATATTTTTTACAGCTAGTAAAATTAAAAAATTGACTAATATGATGCAATTTCTTTGTCTTTTCTAATTAGGTCTTTATTTAACTTTATTTTATTTGTTTTATGAAAATGTTATTGAAATTGCACTAACTTTAAATAGCGCTCTTACGAGTATAATAGTTTTTTTGTTTCATTCGCGCCAATGTATTTAGCGATTGTCTCACTCTGTCTACTAGTATCATATTGCCAGACTTTTTTCGTTGCCAGACATGCTTAACAACCGCAGAAACGTCTGGCAAATTAACTTTATGTTTCTTGACCCTTAATGAACATAATATTAAAATTACAGACGGACTAGAATGATTTGAAATTTAAAAAAAATTAATGAATAAATTGGCGTCTGGCACATATTTGGCAGCGCCCAAAATGTCTGGCAACAAAAATGTGAATCTGGATAACTTATTCAAGTTATCAAATCAAATATCAAGTCAAAAAATGAAAATTGGACTGACTAAAATGCTATAAACTAGTATCATATTTCCAGACATTTTTGCTTGCCAGACATGGTTAACAACCGCAGAAACGTCTGGCAAATTAATTTTACGTGTTTTTACCCTTAACGAACATAATACTGAAATTTCAGACGGACTAAAATGATTTGAATTTTTAAAAAAATTAATAAATAAATTGGCGTCTGGCACATATTTAGCAGCGCCCAAAATGTCTGGCAACAAAAAAATTTGAGTCTGGTGAACCTATTTGAAGTCAAAAAAATGAAAATTGGGCTGACTAAAATACTTTCAAAATTCTGAAATCGCGCTGTACAAATTGGCTGCGCACTAATTAACGCAACCACTTCCAGCTGCCAGACGGCCCTTACCCTAACCGAGAGAGCACCAAGGACCACATACCAAAAAACCAGCCTGACTAAAATGCTTGCTCGAAAACGTTGCTGGCTCCCGTACTATAAGCTAATCGCGGCTAATGTGCAAAAAAAACACAAATAAAATAGTATTTAAACATGTTTTTCAAAGCTTATTCTATTTTTGTGCCATATTGTTTTGATGTATAATAGATATCCCGTTTCAAAATAATCCTTCCTATTGTGGGTTTGTCCATCAACAATATTATCGATCATCTTTAATCAACTACCTCAAAGATTCTAATCTCCAAGATGCTGTTTACATGCATGTTTTATTTAAATAGCACTAAGGCACTAAGTGCATTTCCGCATAAATAAAACTCTTAAAATGAAGAAACCCATTAGTATTATCTTTCCTGAGAAGAATGCGGACTTCAACCTAAAGACGCACGTATTGCGCATTACATATGTAATCATTTCAAATTTCCTTCAGCTACCATTTATTTCAAATACTTTCAATTTTATGTCTTGTAACTTAACTTCCTGTCGTATTTTACAAAAGTCGGAGTAGATTCTCTTAGATTCTTTATCACATTATCACTCGACTCTTTGGCACTTTCTACTTTACTTCTATTGTTGAAACTCTTTTTCTTAGCTGGGAATATTTTACCGAGAAAAAATGTAACTATGTTACTTATTATAACCTTGCAACGAAATTCTCAGGAACTAGACATTGTCGCAGCAAACAAAGAAACCGATAATTAGACATCCGACTGTGGTTTACAGAAAACTAAAAATTAATTTGTAGTTACACAGGTGTAATGATTAAAAAATTATTTTGAGTAATTTAGTAGTTTGGTCTTGTTATATGAAGATTAATTGCTGTAATGCAATTATATACGTTTTGGATAAAGCAATTTTAATTAAAACAATACCTTACAAGTATCATTCAATCAATGTATTTTTGTATGATTACACATAGTATCTTAGTTCTACTTAGATAAAATTTTTCTACTTAGATAGAAATGTTGAGGTAGTTGATCAAAGATGATCGATAATATTGTGGTTAATCAAAAGCCAATTTGGAAGGATTGTTTTGAAAGAGGATGCCCTTTATAAGTCCAGCTGCATAAAAATAATTAAATTTAATTAAAAATATTTAAATCATAAAATTTTATGTTTGTTTTTTGAATCCAACATTACACACCAGCGTCATATTTATGTAATAGGAAAAATGGCCTACTTGGTTCTACGAGTAGTTTTATGATTACTATTGTCCTGAAATTTTTCTGAAAACTTCAAATTTTAATTAATAAGAATTAAATTTTTGACCAGAACAATATATAAAAATGGAACATTTTGAAGATTCGATACGCATGGAGACTGAACCGTTTTCATTGCAAATAAATTAAATTTAATTATAATATTAATTGGATTATACAATTCAAATAAATACAAAAATTATTATCATACTAATTAAAAATAATTTGTCTAAAAAATTAGCAAGCATTACAAAATTTGTAAGCGTAATTTTGAGCATTGTTCCTAACTCGAACTGCTATTTCTTTTGAAATTCATT